GTTCATGAATTATTTATTTTAACTATACGATAAATCCGACCAAGATGAAAATTTTTTGCGTAAAAGAAATAATACACTCGATTCTTTCACAGCTGCAGAAAAGTCAAAATTAAAGACTTCAGAACTTTAAAAAAATATGAAAAGCAAGTAAATGTAAAGGAAAAAAAGCAAAAAAATTCTCCCTCGTAATGTTGCACATTTCTTGGTTCTATTTACTGTATCTATCATCTGATTACGTAAAATATTGTTAACGTATTGTTGACATCCAAAAGTATCTATTCCTTCATTATATCGCTTTCTTCGCCAGTGTGATAAAACATTGAGAAATCTTAGTTAGCAATCTAATTAGAGTAAAGAAAAAAGAGGTTAGGTACAAAATAATTACATAATCACATTGAGGATTGAAATAGTTATGTGTGAGATTTTGTTTTTTGATTGCATAAACTAAATAAAGATATATAAAATGTAAGAGAGGTAAACAAAAATATAGAATACAATTCAAGAAATATAGATGACAATAGGCTAATTGATTGGTAACTTTTGAAAGTATTCAAAAATGTTTAAAACTTGAAAGAATGGACAAAACGCAATAATTACGATGTCCGACATCATGCAAAATTACTCACTATTATCTGACAAATGATTTTAATTCCGCGAAATGAAAGATCACTAGAAGTAAATATAATTTTTATAGAATAAATTAGAATTCTAAATTGATAACTTGCATTTCAATTGATTCAACTTCATCACCATAGGCAGAATTAATTTTCCAACAATTTTATAAATATCTCCCGGAACCGATATGTAAGCTATCGTTTTTGATCACACATTTCACTGATCACTTATCCATTCATTTATTAAATGAATTAATAAACCATTCGTCCATCCATTCAAATCAATCAACCAATTGACTGACCAGGCAGTTACAAAAAAAAGCAAAAAAAAAAGCAAAGACTTAAATATCAATTTGATGAATTTTACAATACTGGTCTTAATTTCATCACCAATAAGAGAAACAACTGGCTTAAATTCTGGCTTAAATTTATTAATCTACGGAATGCAGAACATGAAAAGAAGAAATTAATTAATTGAAAACGAAAAATTGTCCCACAATCTTATAGTTCTTCAGCTTTTTTTTTTGAATATATAACGTAATGAAAATACAAAAAATGAAACAAATATTTTACTTTCTTCAATATTTAATTGACGATTTGAACTTAACGATGTAGTAAGTGATATAGATTGAACGAAGTGTTGATGATAAATTACATATGAATATTTCATTTTACAAATAAAGGAAATGAAGAAAATTGTCGAGCAACCGAGATTTTATCATAAAATATTAATGTGAATAATAACAATTTAAGGCATTATAAATAGGGACATTTGAAACGATAAAATATCGACAAAATCAATTTTATTCAAATATTTCAAAAAATATGTCTCGGAAAACAAAACCGGTCTTTCCTTTTTTTTTGCTTCAATCATTTAAAACAAAACTGTGGTCGAAGATCAAGCTTTTATGTTCACACAAAATCAATCAGTCAACTGATAAGAGAAATCATCACTGAAAAGAAGAGAAAGGAAAACGAAGAAACGAGAAGTTTTAGTAATTATACCTGCCCTCTTGGTACAAAATTTCACCATTTAACATTTCTTTACATCTGGATTTTACATAACTGGATTTATTTCGTGAAATGTTTCGAACTATTTGATCTATCCATGAAATATTTTATTCATTCAGTTAAAAACTCATTTAGTTCAGCTTTATTCTTTCTGTCGATTTCTCTTTCGTTTTTTGCATCTAAAATCATTTTTTCATTTAGTAATACCAATTTCTTACTTATTAAATTTGCATTTCATGCATATCTAATAATGATAAGAATTCTTCAACACGAATACATAGAGTAAAAATGAAGTACCAATGAAGGAATATTTGTGTATTTTTCTTTTGGTATAGGAAATTGAAGAAATCCATTTTATTGCTACAACAAATCCATCCATTTTATTGGCAGCATCAAAACTTGATGATTATAAGCGTTTTCTGAAAGAAAGCATTGCATAGGCGAAAAAATTCGGTTCATCATTAAATCGTGAAGAACCAAAAACAGTTTTAGGTATTTTCTGAATTTGTGACATAACTATAAAGTTTATAGATCATTATAACATAGTTTTCTCTCCATATATTTAATAGGAAGAACAACGGATTGTGTAATATTTTTCAGATGATATAATATGACTGCATGAACCGTTGAACACTTTTCCTTCTTATTTTTTAGAAAAGATCTTAACCATGAAATTCATCTATATGTTTGAAAGAGTAGATTCTATCAAAATTAGTTATTCTTATCCATGATTTTTTTTCCAAAACTTTTACAGTTGCATGCTTTAGCTATGCAAAATTCTTTTAAATTGATGCTAAGTGAAAATGTTACCATAACCATCCATCCTTTCTCAACATAAAGATATTTTTAGTAAATTTTATTTGTTTTTTTTTTTTTTTTTTTTTTTTTTTTTTTAGGCTGAATTTTAATAAAAATGCACAAATTGCAAAAGCACTGACGATTATAAAGATATGCGAAGAAGAAACATTTACACAAGAATATGTATCAATAAAATTCAATAAAATTATCCTCAACTTGGGAAGGCATTCAAGCTGCTTGATTATTTCATTATATCAAACATTGTATTATTATTCATGACTTCATTATCAATTTCTGAAGAGACTTTTTGGTTATTTAAGTACAATTAATTGGTCTATTTCAGTGGACAGATAGAATTTTCTAACGGTTGTATGATTGCATCTGAACATTGTATTTTAGATCTTTTAGAATTTCATTTAATATGTCAATGTTTTTCTGCTCATTACATATTTTTTATTTTTGATAGCTTTTTTATAGGTAAATGAGTTATGCAATATGTTATTAGTTTTTTGAAAATATATTCAGATTCACCTACCGTTACCCGTTACCATTCCCAGTTATGATCAGATTTCTATTTTTTTTTCTTTTAAATTTATTTCTTTTTTATATTAACGAATTTCTCAGTGTTAGTATACTTGAGAGTAAGCATGGTGTAATATGACGTTACTATTCAACATTTATCAAGCTATCGCATGTGCCGAAGCGAATGCAACACTAATCTCTCCATTTGTTGGCCGAATTCGTGATTGGTATTTAAAAAATACAAATTCGAAAGATTATAATATCTAATTTTGTTTGAGTTAAATTTGAAACTTGTTATTAGAAATTAAATATGCAAAACGGAAAAACGATATAGATTTTGACCAGTTGATTTTGGAATATTCTTTATCTTTAGAATGTCCGAAAAATCTGTTGTTATTACAAAATATATGACTCTAAAACAGAAGTTATGGCAGCATCATTTCGTAACATAGATGAAATCTTAAGTTGCGATTTGGTGACGATCAGATAAGAAACACTGTACTTTTTTTTTTTGTGAACGTAAAGTTCTAAAAATACAATATTTTGTCTTTAAGAGATCTATCTTATCAAATTGTAAAATTTATTTCTTTGCAATGGCATTGCTCAAAGATTTATCAGTTGACAATGAATATGTCTCTGTAATTTTACATCCAGGAAAGGATATATTTATACATTTTATATATACATGAATTTCTCTATGGAAAATTGTGTTTTGTTTTTGATTTCTTTAAAAAGAAATATGTTATCATTTTTGTCAATGATAATCATTGGTATAAATATAATATATTTAAAAAAAGAAAAAAAAAAACGAACTCTTTAAAATGCAAAAGTTTTACTTGGCGAACTAATGTTTCGGTATGAAATGAATGATGATAAAATGGCAGCGGATTTTTTGGCTGATTGAATATGTCGTTTTGCAGCAGATGCTCGAGCAATAGAAAATTTAACTGATAAACTTTATCATTCTTTTTCGGATGATTTATTCTTGCTTACAAGTTTATCATATTTTTTTGCATTATTAGAATGAGAAAGATGGTTTTTCTTTTTTTTTAGAAATTAGCAAAAAATACAGCTAGCACGCAGTATATTAAACGACAGCACGTCAATCAAATAGTATAAGTATAAATGGATTTCTGATCGTATCCTTTTTTTATCAAAAATCTCTTTAAATGTGGTTTGATTGATCTGACTTAACTCATTGAACGAATAAGTTTGGCACAAAAATGTCCTATACAGTATTTCTGATGAAATGTCTTTGTTCTTTTAATTTTTAATTGATAAAATCCAATCTTTTCTATTCTTTTTCTGAAAACTTATGATTTTTTTTTCAAATTTTAGTAATTTCGTACGTAATCCAAATTAACCATACCAGTTTCAATGCTTCATCAGTGTGATAATTTATCATTTCCAAAAGTATCATTTTCTTACTTCAATACCAATTCAAATTACAGTTTGAATTATAGCTCATGAAATTTTACATTACTTTCCTTTTTATTTGATCAGTGGTATATAAATTTTGCTAATCTTTGCTTTTTTTTTATATTATAATTGATTAAAAAAATGTTTTATGGAAAATTTTTGTATCCTAAACATAATAGAATTTCATTATTATTTCTATTTATCATTTCTGTGCTTTTTTTCTAACTTTCATTTATTAATTCTATAATTTTAAAGATAAGTTATTTGAGATGTTTGGTTTATTTTAATACATCTTCGCAAATTATCTTGCTATTTTATAAAATTAATTTGTGTAATTATAGTATATATCATAGCATAATATTGCTTCGTTTTTTATCTGAAGTAAAGACGAGTAGATATCATAACTATTGATAAAATGATTGACAGATATTTTTTTCAAAAATTTTTCAAATTTTTTCAAAAAGGGAAGCTTTTTTTATATCTTTTCATGACAAAAAAATTTCCTTGGCAAACATTTTATTGTTCGAGGAAGTTTAATTATTGTTGAACGCCGGATTGAAATTTATTAGTGTTTAAAACGTAGAATATTTATGTATGAAATGATGAATAATTTCATGAAAATTGATCGAATTTCAATCATTTCATTGCTTTTTTATTAACACCAGAATCAATAAAGCGTATTGCGCGTTGTTTATTAATATAATGCCAAATACGCATAGCAATATTCATCAAGCCACCAATTAATGTTGATATAATTAAAAGTGTTACAACTAAACAATTTTAAAGCTGGTAGAAATGGATTCTAAAAAGATTTTTACTACTTTTTAATTGTTGATATATTTATTTATTTAGAAGCAAAATAAATTTTTGATATTTTTTAATTTTTGATATATATATTTAAAAGCAAAATGGACTATAGTTTTATTCCGTAATTAAATTTTGCTACTCTTTAATTATTGATATATCTATTTATTTATCTAGGAGCAAAATTTTACTAATAATTTTTCCTATGACTTTATTATTAATGTATCATGCTTAGAAATAAGATAAAATGATTTATTGAAATAAAATTTATAAAAATTTATCATAAATTATGAATATTCTGTGCAATTAAAATGATAAATATTCATTTTGATAATCAAAAAAGCGGAAAAAAAATCAAAAAAAGGGAAAACGCTATGATTAGAATAAAAAAATAAAAATATCATCTTAACTTATTGTTAAATAATTCTAATATTGTAAACATACACTTACGTATACGTGCTATATCAGGTGAGCGTGGTGGTAAACCAACCACGAAAATTCGATCAAAAAATTCTCTTTCAATAGTTAATGTTATCATATACCACAAGCATATAGATAAGCAAATTACCGATGATGTTTCAACAATATTCTAAAATTAGATATTGTATACATTTAGATATACCAATAATATTTAATTACTATTTTATTAATACTAAACTTATTAGCAAGTTTTTTTTAAATATTTAGTTACTTATTATCAATCCTATCATATTAAAGTATTTATTTATCCATCAATAAAATTTCCAAATTGATCAGTTTTTTGTTGAAATGAATCATTTAAGAATATTATTTATGAGCTGTTGCGAATCACAATTGATATCATTAGAAAAAAAATTAAATTTGGAATTTTATGCTTTTCCAGATAAATTTTTCTAATAAAATCTTCTAAGTTTTATGCTTTTCCTAATTTCTAATGCATCGGCAATTTCATTATTTTGCTCAATTTTTAATCTTTATTCATTATTTTTATATTAATTTTATACTTTAATATTTCATTGTATTAATAAATATGATTAAAAAAAAGTAATTTTTTGACTATGAGCAACTTTTTTCTTACATTTTATTAACAATGCCTAGCTTATAATATAAACTAATGTATTTTGGCTAAAAAATTCTACATTTAATAACTTTGTTAGTAAAAATATTCTTCATTTAATTTTTATTTCATTGTATGTTTTTTAAATTTATTTTGCCACGCAAACTTATAAGAAAAAAACTTTTTTGAACTGATTTTATTTAACAAAATTTTATTGCAAACAACTGAACAGCTATTGCAAATTGCAGGCTTGAATATATTTTAAAAATATGAATGTATTATAATTTCATATGTATAAAAAGCTCACATATGTAGATGGAATCTAAGAGTTCGCTATGTTTTTAAAGCTTTTGAACTTGGTAAAAAAAGAAAATAGCATTTGTTTTTCTTAAATTCATTTTAAAAATTATGAAAAGTAAAAAATAATCTTTTGAAAAAAGAGAAAGATATTTTGTTTTTTTGCATATATTTTGTTTTTTTGTTTTTTTTTTTTTTTGCATCAAGCTAAAATTAAGCCATTTATCATTAAACAATAGCTTAGTCCAACTAATTTTGCAATAATTAGAGAAGATTTGAAAACTTCAAATTCATCCCTAAGCAAAACTGGATAGTTTAATTAAATTTCCTCAAATTCACTTACATATTTGAAATACTTGAAAGAAGTATTGAAATTTCAATATTTACTTCATCAATTTCATTTTCTACTAACAAGATATTGAATTTCAATAGTTGCTTAATTATTACTGGTATCATTAATTACTAATATTAACTAGTATCATTAGTCATCAATTGCTATTACCGATGTCAGTTTTGATAATTCATTAAAAAGTTATTTGTTTCAACTGTTATCAATGTAGCAAATTTATTACATTTCTTATCAAATCATTTTAATTTAGATCTTGTCAAAAATTTGGAAAAAATATCATGCTCATGGAAATTACAATTGAAAAAATCTCTCAATTCAGATCATCATCATTAATTAATTTATATATTCATATGTAAATATTTCAATCTGTTCGCTTTTCATTTTTTTTTTCAAAATCTTTTCTCTTAAATCAAAGTTAAACAAAAATAATTCCCATTAAATAATAAGTAAAATTTATGACAAATGTGAGCATGAGAAAAATTTAGGAAAAAATTTTGTCATTTATTTCTGAAAATTTTTTTCCAACTGAAGATTAAAGATAAAAACATTTAAAAAAAAAAAAAATCATTGTTTTAATTTCTAAAATTAAAGCGAGAAAAAAAGCTGAAAATGATCAAAGATTCAACCGTCATTTCAATTTGTGGTTTTTGCCACTTCCATATTGGTTGTAAGATATTTCCGGATTTTGAATATTTTTCTTGGCAAATTTCACATCGATCATTATTGTTTGATCGAAGTAACCATTCATTTAAGCAATGCTCGTGAATATCGCCCATCTGGCAATTAGCATTTCTTTTTTCACTTACTTTATTTCTTTTTATTTTTTAATAAATAATAATTTTCTTTTAAATAAAAAGTTTTTTATTACAATTGGAAATAAAAATGAGTTATAAAAATTAATAATATAAATCGTTATTAAAAAATACGTTTGAATCAATTAAATGATAGTTTATTAATATTTGATTATATAGACTGAAGAAAAGTTTGATAAAATTATCATTAATTAAATAATCAAATAGAATGCAATGTTTAATGAATTATGTAATGGAATAATATTTCATACGTTTAACATTTAAGTTTTATACGCTCTACATGTTTATATTGTTTTCAAAGCCATAAATTATAAAAAATAATGCAAAAAATGAAACACTAATTAAGCTTTAAAAAATACTAAATCTATTAATTTATTATTCGTTTGATATAAAATAGCTATAAAATTGGATTTTCGTTTATTTTAACTTGGATAATTAAATATATCGAATTGAACATTTAAATGATGATCTTTTAATTAAATACATTAATTAAGCATATCAAGTACGTCGAATTAAACCAACTAATTACTTATATTAAATGTATCGAATTAAATATATTAAAACATCGAATTAATTGAAAATAAAATTAAAAAAACAAGTTTTGTTGAACATATAAATCAATTTAGTACTTTATAATTCATTTAAATTGTAAATTTTAGCTTCATTGAATGTAGTAATATAAAAAGAAATAAGCTGAAAATATTAATGTAATATGAAATTAATTACCGAGATATCAAATAATTTATTATGCATAATAGATATAGGAAAAGAATGGTAATCGAATTTGAAGATCTTACTGTTCCGGTACAGGCACATGGTCGAACAAGTTCACCGGTTTCCGATTGACATATACGGCATGCTCTTTTTTCCGTGTTAGATGAATCAGATGTGGTTTTCGGTGAGCTATAATTCTAATTTGCATTATGGAAAAACAGAATAAAAAATGATTTTCATTTAATGCACATTTTCTTTTTTTTCTCTAAAGGATTTGTTATTCATTCCAAGTAAAAATTTTTCTTTAATAATATAATCGTTTATTACCTCAGTTTTTAAAGATAAATTATTTCAATTTAAATAAAAAAATAATCGTTAAATGATGTTTTTCTTCTTTCAATCTTCTGTTTTTCCATTTATTACTTTGTTGAGTTTTCAATATGAGCCTTTTTTTTATTTTAAGTTATCGCTCCAGCGTTTTTTCTGACTTATCATTTAAAAAAGTTGGAAATATTTCCAATGTTTTCAGAAATAGATGAAACACATATGCTTTTTTATCATAATCTTTTCAAATGTTATGTTTCTAATAAAAAAATTGAAATTCTATCATTATTTAAAGAAATGTAAAATTTGAAATATGCTATTAAACAAAATATGAAGTTTGAAAATTATGAAAACATTTAAACAAAACAAAATAATTTGAACTGATCACATTAAAAAAATCAAATTGTATTTTAATTTTTATCTTTCATTCTTTTATTTAATAAGAGCTTGCAATTGACATTGTAACTTCCAAAACATATATTTTTTATTTGTTAAAATATACATGTATACATATGCTAATAAAATTTTCTATCTGTATCGAATATATATAAAATTTCTGCAGGTTATAATTTGACCTATTTTAGGTCTCCAGGAAAAAAGCGAAACTATATCTCTCTGTTGCATTAATTGGTTAGAATTTTTAAAATCATGTATTTGTATATCAACTTTAGTTATTTCATACATTTATTTCAAACATTTTTAATAGGACCCATTGGAGCTTTTTTTTTTTTTTTTCTTAATTTAATGCAAGAAAGTATAGAGAGAGAGAGAGATGGAAAAAAGAAAAAGGAACTAAAGTATTCGAGTGATACTTCTGATATTTTCAAGACATTATTATTTTAAATTTTCCCAAAAAAGGAGAAAAAAAAGCAGCAATAAAAACAGTAATATTGTAGCGGAATAGAAAGTTAACACTAAACGTGTCAAATAAAATTTCATAATATGCATAGGAAATAAAGTAAAATTCAAGTATTACTCGGAACCAAAATAATATAATTAAAAGCTCACTTTGGTATGTCAACACGAACTGATTCTTGAAAATGTATAACATGTGTAGATGATCCTTTTTTATTTCCGTGAAATATTTGAAAATTCTTTTCTGCTAATTTTTTTCGATTTGATTGCATTTGGATGTTGCATCATTCATTTCTGTCATTTCATCACATTTTTCTAAACAGTTATTATCCTCATCAATTGATCCATCTGAAATAGATATATCGATTCGTTTATTCCTTTTTTTCGTTCAAAAATTTTAAATGATTAATCAATCTTTTATTTGATTTAAAAATTTCTTTTTATATTTACTTATATTTACTTTAAAAAATAACTGCAAAAGGGAAATGAAATAATTTATTAATTGATACATAAAATAATCAGCAAAAAAATGCAAAGAAGGCACCGAAGATTATCCAATAGAAATTTTATTGTGTAAAAATCAATGGTATTTAAGCAAAAAACAAAAGAGTATACACCTACTTACTTGTAAGCGTATTTTCCATTTCATCCTGACCAATGACATCTCCATTACCATTTGCTTCAATTTTTGACATTTAATAATAACCACTGCTCTTCAAATAAGTTTTTATGAATCAATAAACAGAAATAACAATTGCAGCGATTAAATTGATGCAATAAAAAATTTTTTTCCCATATATAAATTAAATATGCAAATCGTGCAAATAATAATTACATGCTAAATTATTGTTATTATTATTGTAATTATAAATTTTATCGTCGAATCAATAATATATGAATCATTTTTATAAAACATAAAAGAAAGTTTTGAGATCTTCAATTTCACAGGAACAAAATCACTTTCTTACTCAGATAAAAAAATTACGAACGAAAATATTTAGAAAGATATTGTTTTGGTTTTTAGAATTTTTTTAGAAAAAGAAATTTTTGTATGCATTGCAAAAATCTACTAAGCAATTTCTATTATATATCACAACCAAAAAAAAGTTTTTTTGAAAAAAAAAAAAAAGATTTTTTTTGCTAAACGTCTGGCTTTTTTCTCCAATGTTTACATCTCCTCCTTTTTTCTTTTTCTCTCGTTTGTTCTGTTCTCATCGAATCGATCGTCTAGTAGTATTATACATATTGTACGCAATTAAATTTATTTTGTGGGAGTCTATTTCAGAATACAAGCATCTATTGATTAACGAAAATCTATAATAATAATCTAACAATAAAACTAAATTAACAAAAAACGCGTATTAAGAAGTTACAGATCAAAATAGTAACAATACCTCATCAGAATCGGACCTGATGAATTATGCTCATGATCTTTCCGTTGCTTTTTCTTTTTTCGTTCTTGCTATTATATTCATGTTCATGTTTTCTTTTTCTCTTATGTTCATTTTATGTCCTGGTTATTATTTTTTGGTTTTTGAAAATTTCAGTTTTTTTCTCAGTTAAAATCTGGTTCTGTTCCTTTTCATTTTTGATTGTTTACTATTTTGTCTGATATAAAGGGGTAGTCTATTATATGGTTTTTGACTTTGCAGAAGTTACCATATTTTGTTATTTCGTTAAATTTTTGTAAAGATTTTTTCTTTATTTTTTGGTATATTTTTTTGTTATTTCCAATTTTTTTATTACATAATTTTTTAGATATAGTTGTTGTAGTTCTACTGAATCTTTTAATTGTTTATTATTATTGGGAATATTTTCTTATAATGAAGTTTTTATTCTATTTTTTTATTTTGTTTTGTTTTTGGTTATTTCTTATAATTATAATGTCAATTTTATTAGTTCAGAGATTTTTTTAATGTCCCTTTGAGATTAAAAATTTTGTTGTTGTTTGGTACTTTTAATTTAATTGGTTTTTTTTTTATTACTATCTATATGTTTGATATCTTTAGGTGTTAGTTATTTGGTTTTTTATCTTTCTATAATTAGTTTTAATTTTTTTTTTGAAATATTATGATTATTTTGTTCATTTGTTATTTTATGTTGGTTTATTATCTGTTTTTTGCTGTTTTAGTTTAATTTTTTTAATTTCTAATTTGTAATTAGAAGATAGCTTCAGTTTATGTTTGTTTTTTTATTGTTTTGTTCTTTTTTTAGTCCTTTTTTATTTTTTGTTTTTTTTTTCTTTATCTGTTTTAATAGGTTTTTTTTGATTCTTTTAATTTTGTTTTTTTATCTTTTATAAGTGTTTTTATTTTAGGTTTTATTTGTGTTTCTGAAGTTTTGGGTGGTTTAGTTTTTTATTGCTATCTTACCGTTTTTTCTAGTGTTTGTTTTTTTATTCTGGTAGTTTTTTAATTTTATATATTTTTTATGAATTAGCTGTATTGGCAATCTTATTTTGTTTACTTGGTTATGGTCGTCAAGTTTTTAAAAGTTAGTGCTTGTTATTATTTGGTTTTTTATACTTTATTTTTTGATATACTTTTTTTGTTTTTTTAGTCATGTTTTTAATTTCTTTAACTTTTATTATGTTTATTAAGAATTTTTATATCTTATGAGTTAATTTTTTTGTTGAGTTTATGTTTTTTGGTTAAGTTCCCTGTTTATTTTTTGCATGTATGGTTACCTAAGGTTCATGTGGAGGCTCCTACTAGTACTAGAATAGTTTTAGCTGGAGTTATATTGAAGTTATAGGTGGGACTGGGCTTTATCGTATTGGTAAGTCCTTGAATTTTTTTGGTTTTGAGCTATTAATTTTTTTCTTTGGTTAGAATAGTTTTTTGTTCTTTTAATTGTATGTTTCAAAGTGATTGTAAGTCTTTGGCTGCATATTCTTCTATTTGTCATATGGGTTTTGTTTTATTATCTGAGATTAGCATATTGTATTATGGTAAACCTACAGCTTTAATTATGATATTTAATTATGATATTACCTCATGGATATATTTCTATTTTGATATTTTATTTCACTGGTGAATTTTATCATATTGCTAGAAGTCGTTAGTTTATTATTATGAGGATATTTTAATATTAGTATGTTATTTTGTTTGATTTTTGTTTAACTATGGTTTCTGATTTTGGCTTTCCTAGTCCTATTTCTTTTTTTCTGAGTATTTAATATTAAATTGATTTAGTTCTGTTTTTTTATTTTAGTATTTTTTTTTCTTTTTGTGTATTTAGTTTCTTTTTATTACTCTATTTATGTTATGGTTTGTTTATAGTTGGTAATAAGGTTAGTTATATTTGTGATAGTCGGGCTATTATTTGTTTACCTTTGGTCTTTATAGTTTATATTTTTTTTGGTTTATTTATGTTATTTAATATGAATATTTTTTTGTGGTATGTATGACTTTTAATGTGTTGAAGCAGAGGATTAATAATATCGTTAATCATAAAACTATTGGTACTTATTATATTATTTTAGGTTTTTGAGCTGGTTTGGGTGGGTCTTTGTTATCTATGATTAATCGTTTTGAGCTAGTCCTGGTGGTTATTTATTTTTTGGCAATGGTCAAGTTTATAATTCTGTTTTGACTATACATGGTACTCTAATGATTTTTTTATGGTAATACCTATTTTAATTGTGTTTTGGTAATTGAATATTACCTGTTATATTAGATGCTCTTAGATGGCTTTTCCTCGAGTTAATGCTTTATCTTTTCGGTTTACTTTTGTAGCTTTATTAATGGTTTATCAGTCCTTTTTTATCGGTGGTGGTCGAGATAGTAGTTGAACTTTTTATCCTCCTTTGAGAGAAGTTTCTTTAGATGTTATAATTTAAGGATTACATACTGTGGGAATTGGTTCTTTATTGGGTGCTAATAATTTTATAGTTACTACCCAGAATATACGTTCTGTTGCTGTAACTTTAGATAAAACAAGTACATTTGTTTGAACTTCTTAATTAACTTCCTTTTTGTTAGTATTATCTGTGCCTGTATTAGCTGGTTCTTTATTATTTTTATTACTTGATCGTAATTTTAATACTTCTTTTTATGATACTAAATATGGAGGCAACCCTTTGTTGCATAAACATTTATTTTGATTTTTTGGTAATCCTGAAGTAAATTTAGAATTTATAGGTAAAAAATATAATTTTTTAAGTTGCATAAGCATCATAAAATGGAATTTAGTTATTATCCTATTATATTTGGATTAGGTATATTAGTAGTGGATGTTGGATTAGTTTTATTTATAAATATAACTATTAGTTTTATAAATATATCCATGAATTGTGAATAACAGCCTGAGTATCATAACTATATGGATTGTGAATCACGATTGTATATGTCTGAGCATCATACATCCATGAATGGTGAATAACGGTCTGAGTAACATATATCCATGAACTGTGAATGACGATTTGAGTATCACAAATCCATGAAATGTGAGTCATGATTGCATATGTCTGAGTATCATACATCCAATAATTGTGAATAACGATCTGAGTATCATAAATTTATGAAATGACAAATTACGATTGCACATGTCTGAGTATCATGCATCCATGTATTGTGACTTACGGTCTGAGTATCATACATCCATCAATTGTGAATGACGGTCTGAGAATCATACCTAATGAATCGTTAATCAGGATTTTATATGTCTGACTATCACTAGAAGACATTTTGATTATTTCATGCCACTTCTCTGCAAATGCAACAATATCACTAAAAGACATTCTGATTAAATCATTAACTCATACCATTTCTCCACAGGTATAACAATACAACTAGAATATTTTTTGATAAATTCATTAACTCACATCATTTCTCTACCAATATAACAAGATCACTAGAAGATATTTTGATTAATTCATTAACTCATACCATTTCTCTGCAAATATAACAATATCACAAGAAGGTATTTTGATTACTTCACTAACTCATACCATTTCTTTACCATATAACAAGATCACTAGGAGATATTTTGATTAATTCATTAACTCGTACCATTTCTCTACAGATAAAAGAATATCACTAGAAGACATTTGATTAATTCACGCCATTTCTCTGCAAATATAACAATACCACTAGAAGATATTTTGATTAATTCATTAACTCATATCATTTCTCTGCAGATATAACAATATCACTAGAAGACATTTTGATTAATTCATGACATTTCTCTGCAAATATAACAAGATCACTAGAAGACATTTTGATTAATTCATTAACTCATATCATTTCTCTGCAGATATAACAATATCACTAGAAGACATTTTGATTAATTCATGACATTTCTCTGCAAATATAACAAGATCACTAGGAGACATTTTGATTAATTCATGCCACATCTCTGCAAATATAACAATATCACTAGAAGATATTTTGATTAATTCATTAACTCATATCATTCCTCTGCAAATATAACAATACCACTAGAAGACATTTTGATTAATTCACGCCATTTCTCTGCAAATATAACAATACCACTAGAAGACATTTTGATTAACTCATGACATTTCTCTGCAAATATAACAAGATCACTAGAAGACATTTCGATTAATTCATGCCATTTCTCTGCAAATATAACAATATCACTAGAAGATATTTCGATAAAATTCATGCCACTTCTCTGCAAATATAACAATATCACTAGAAGGTATTTTGATTACTTCACTAACTCACATCAT